CAAAAATCTGGCAAATGGTAATAAAAATTAAAAATGCCGAGAGTGGAAAGCTGTTTGCGTCTGTGCCCCTGGCTGCCCCTGCCCCTGACTCTGCCTCGGCTTCTGTGCCTGTGCCTGTGTGTGTAACTAACGGATAAGCCTTGCAAAATTGACGCTGACAAGGCTTGGCCAAAGTGGCCAACGTTGCGTATGCTTAATCTGCCTATTTACATCGTTGCCCCCTCGTTCATTTCTCGTGTGCGTGCAACCATTGCCATGCTGTGACTATCATTAATTTTTCATACTCATAATCATCATCTAGTCAGCGCTGAGCCGCGCACTGGGATTTCCTCTTATTTTTTGGTGTCAAAATGTTGTTTCTTCTTTCACATTTTTCACGCGATTTATGCACATTCTGCCGGTCTATCTTTCTCTTTCGCCTCGAAACCCATTTAGTGGCCATCTCCTGGACCCCTGTTATTTACTGTCGAATTTCTTACAAGCGGCCAACATTTGGAATGGCTCCTTTTTTGGTGGGGTGTTGATTTTTTTTATAAAAAAATTTATCGAAACTCCAGGATTCTAAATGGATTCAAATTGGCTTATTTCACGAAAGATTAAAAAACTACTGTGCATGTAATCCATCGATATTTTCCGATCTTGTAAACGATGTAAATTCTTGATCAGCATCAAAAACAGAGTCTATATATTTACCCACTTTTAAAAATAATAGGGCTGTATTTGTATATTTTTAAATTTTAAACTTAATATACTGATTTAATACCCTAAAATAAAAACAACACCAAAATCTCTCCTAATTGAATCGAATGCAATTTCGGCCAAGTCATGATCGATTTTAAGTTTAACCCCATGATCCGACTGCCAACTAAAGGTTAGACAAACTTCGGAGCTAACTTCCTCTCTTGTTTAAAAATATATCAAGCTCAAAACATTTTGTCATATACAACTGGCGGAAAAATCTCTCATGTGCCAATTTCCATTGTGTGTTGACCGGCAGCAAACACTTGGAGTTTTTACACAAGTAAATAAATGGCCAAGAGTGGCGGCAATGGCACCGGCGGAATGGCGCGGAATGTCCTAAAAGTGCGGCAATAAAAGAGCGTAGGTCTGGACCGATTCGACGAGTAGAGTCAAACGAAATCGTTAAATTAGTAGAAAATAGTGTGAAAAGCGACGGAGGGCGGGCGGCGGAATCTGTTAAGTAAGAGAAACTTTAAATGGCAATGGATGGATGGATGGATTGTGGACGGCTGAATGCTTGAGCGCTTGTACTACACAACCGAAGACAGTTTAATTACGGCGTGAAGTTGCGCACCGAGTCCGTTGTTTCGACCCGACCCTCCCTGGGCCCTCGTGCTGCTTCCCTTCCCCGCACCGAGATGGGATTTTAATGCAAGCGTGAATCATAAAACGCTTACTTGATGTGTTGGTGTCACTTCGGGGCGAGTCTTCAAAGCCTTGAAACCGAACCCGAACCCAAACCAGAGCCCGAATGCGAGAATCCGACCTAACCTAGGCCCAAACCAGGTGTACCCGAGTGGGTGCCGGTGCCCATATAATAATCCGTTGCGAATCTGGCCCAAGAACTGTGGGTCACTGAGAAAGAGCTCTCGTGTTGGGCTGCTCATGGGGCTTGGTATCAGCGAGTGGGTTGGGTCGTCTCAGGTGAGCGATTGCATTAGATGAAACCTATTTATTTCAATTGCCAGTTCTTTGTGTCCATTGACAAATGGCTTTTGAGTATAATAGAGATAATTAAATAATTAATTTATTATTTGTATTGTTAAGTGTATGTATAAGTTTTTAAGCAATATAAAAGGAGCTAGAAAACTTGCAAATAACCCCATATTAAAACTCATTGATTAATTACCAAAGGCTTCAGATCGATCCTGTCTTTCTTTTGAAGCACTGCTGTCACAAAATGCGAAAATGTTAACCTTTGGCCGACAGAATCCTGATTAATATGCCATTAATTTGGCAATGACTAATTACTTTGAGCTACGACCTGGCTGGCAAGAGCTTGCTATCGATTAAAATTGGCTCTGAACACAGGACCTCATGCTGTTTACATATCCATTAAAGCCGAGCTCCATCGGGTCGAATGATCAACTGTCCGGCTGCTCATTAAATTAATAGCAGACGCAAACAAAAAAGACTTGGCTCATTAGATAGACTCCCAGCGATAAGGCGGGGGCCCCTCCGTTTGATCGCTTTATTCCAGACATCGGCGCATGCCGGCTGCATTGCTCCTGCGCCATTAGCGAACTCAAGCGGTGGTCCACCAAGCAAGCCATTTAATAAAGTTAGCATTTGTATAATGTCTTGTCAAAAATTTATTGGCATTTTTGCCAATATTTTGTCGGTTCAATCTCCCGATCTTCGCGGTGTCCCACTCTCCGCATTGATCTGTTCCGCGATGGCAATGTTGATTTCGATTGTGATTGCGATCTCAGGCACGCTAACCGAATGCCGCGAATGGAGTGGCCTGTGGTTGCTGGTGTCCACTTGGATCTCTTGTACAGGGTACACTTGTAAAGTATACTTGACCAAGTAACAGGAAGACTTTGGCACTTCCTCCTCATTACTGATACATTCTAGTTATTTCTGTTTGAATACTGAAATTGACTGAAATTGATTCACAGATTTAGAATTTTATTTTATAACCTACTTTTCCTATTTTTCATTATTCTATTATTGACTGGGTATTCTTTTGTTAGGCTATTTTCTTCTTCTGTGAATTTTCCAGGCGATCGTTCGGGTACAATTAAAACACCTTTTTGCCATATCTTTAACTGGTAATATTTGGCAATCGTTCAGGATTTATGAGCTAAAGACTCTGTCCAACTTTCGACTCATTCCGAATTGATTAAATTATGCAAATCTGGCGGTGTGCTCACAAGGCAAAAATTGCAACTGTGACAAAAGGCGTTGCCATGCACGCTCGCCTGCATTTCCCTGTGATTCCCACACCCCCAAATAAACCAAAAAGCCCTGAAAAAGACCCAGACACGGCCAAAAGCAAAGCAAACCAAACCTCAAAAATGAATTTCAGTTCCCTAATTTCCATCAAACGGCGCTTTGGTTTTTGGCTTTTTTGTTTCTTTAGTTTTTGCCATGGCAAAAAAGATTCTCATGTTGTCTTTTAGTGGATGTCGTCTTGGTTGTCGACGTCCTCGTCTCTTAGTCACAGTCATCCAAATCCACATCTACATCGTCATCGTCATAGTCATTGCGATTTCTTGTGAGCTGTTGTTGGCGGCGTCGGTGGATTTTCAATTTCTAATGTAGTGCACGTTACGCCCTGAAGGGATTTTTATTTTATACCATTTTTTTCGTGTCTCTTGCGGTTTTTATTTATTTATGCCAGCGTTGCTGGGGCCGAAAAGGCACAGTGGGTTGCAGATAGCTTATTAAGTGGCTGATCATTGAGTATATTATCCTGGGTCACATTGAAGAGTAGATATAGTGCATTTTTGTGGAATAAAGTTGGAATGGTAAAGAATACTTTGGTGAAAAGTACAAGTCTTTATGAATTAAGCGGTCTTTACAAATAGAACAGCCTACAAATTCACCACTTGTTTTAAAAATAACAGTTTTCTGTTCTCTTATTTGGATTTAAAGTAAATTTCTTCATATTTAGTCTGATGTACAGTCATTAAAATAGTACAAAACAAGAATGCAATACAATAAGTGCTTTATTCATAATAATATTTATTGATATTACTGATAATTTCTCTTTGTTTCTTAGCCGATAGTCTGAAACAGAAAATGATAATACTGGCGAGGTTTAGTTTTCTCCTTTTTTAATATTGCGGAATACATAATTGATCCTTTTTCTATAAAATCTTCTTTTTGTAAGCTAATGTTTACTCCTTCATCATTTAAGCCTTCACCACTGTGCCACATGAAGCTTACCGCGGAGTCCCAAAAACGTCATTTGATGACAAACTTCAAAACTTGTGCATGCAATATGCCATTTTTCGCCCTCTTCTTCTTTCCGATTTCTATTGTTGGTCGCGAGGTGGGTTCGTTGGAGTTTTCATGATTGCTTTGGTCTAGTTGCTGGTGGTGGTGGTGCCTTTGCATTGGGCTTCGTCTGGTGCTCTGGTGGCGCTGGTGCACACTTTTAGTCATCACCATGTCAGCGACAACGGCATCAGGCATCAAGAGTTCAGCCCGAATCCAAACAATCAAAATGATATGCAAATATATGTAAGAGTACCGCTACGAAAAAGGCGTGGGTTAATTGTGACTTTATCATGCGGCAAACGGGGCAGCAAACGGAGGAGAATCGCAATCGAAAGGAAAAAATCAAATTTATTACAAATTTAAGCATAGAGACCGCGAACAGCAATGGCGACGGCGATGGCGATGGTGATGGCGATGCGGCGAGTTATAGATTTCGTCATACCCGTAGTAGTAACTTTTGCCAAGGCGAGACGTGAAAATTTGAAATAAACCTGTCAACGAACACCAACGCCGATCGACATGGTCCCCTGTATGTATGTTGTGTGAACTACGAACCCGGGGACCAGAGACCGCCTAGTCGGTGGGTGGGCGGCGCCAAAACTAAGCCACCAAATCGCTTGGAATCACATAAAACACATTAACACGGGGGCAGCCCTGGGAACGGAACTGTGACGCGACGTTCCTCGCCGCTCATTCCCATAAAGGCGCCTCGCAGTCCCATAGTGGGTTCCCAACTCCGATGCCCTGCAGTTTACCAAACCGTGCGGAATTCAATGCATGTACTGGGAAAAAAATTTTGAAATCGGGCAATGGATCGACCTTCTAATTCCATATTTTATATTATTATATTGTTTTTTCAAAATTGTTACAAGTGCTAATTCCGTCACTTTCTCTTAGGTACTCTTTACACAAACCCAAAATATTGCTAATAAATGATTATTAATAACGGAATAACATTTTATTAGACATTTCTCCACAGTGTACAGTCTAGCGGAACATATGTACTGATGGACCAGTGATCTCCATGTCGATCAGACACACAGTTCCTGTCTGTAGAGCAGCCGAAAGCCGCGACCCACATACTCCGAGTCGGTTCGGAAGGGCAGAATGATGGGTCCTGCGGCGGTGTCCCTCACGGTGGCGTGCACGGTGTAATCGTCGCTTTCCCGGCCATCGTTGAACCGCTCGCCACACAAAGGCACCGAGTTGATGGCTATAAAGTCATCCGGGCAGTTGAAGATCCCAGCGCCCGCCTGGCCATCGGAGATCAGATCGTTCTCGGCTTTAAAATAAACAAAATTCAAGGCAAGTAGCTGTGGCTAATAAAGCTACTAACCTTCGTCTTTATTGACGATTTGAAAATCGGGCTGATCGCCACCCAATTGCTCGGTGTTATAACTCACACTGCACACGTTCTTTAACCTCGCCAGGCAGATGGCATAGTTGAGATTGTTCTTTAAGGGGAATCACCTTTGATAGTATGTTATAATTACTGTTTCAGACAATCTTACGAAATATGTGGCTTCCCGGTTGTCCACAATGGACCCATCTGAGTCGTAATTGAAGGACTTAATGAGTCCCTCTCCCTCCGTGAAATATTGAAGGCAGTTATTTGGGGCCAGGTCGTCGTCCACCTGGGTTACCTTTATGTTGAACGAACGCCCACCGCCGGAGACTTTTAGGAATACCGATAGATACACCTTGCTCTCATTTGAGTCGCCGACATGTATATAAACTGTAAATTCTATATAATATTTTCCGATGTTTAATATCTTTCTTTACTTACTGTGTTGGCCCGTGTTAATGCCACAGAGAACGGGTATCTGGAAGTTCGTGTTGTGGCCCGACACTATAAACTGATCGTCCAGGCAATCCCCATTGGTTGGACGACTTAGCTGTATTCCAGAGAGTTTTAGTGGAGACTTTTGCTATTGCAAAAAGGGCACACCCACCTCAAACATCTGGAAGTCCAGCCGCAGCTGCTGGACCCCCTTCTTCACGTTTATTATCAGCACGCATATCATCATTTCGCGCACTGCATTCGGGTAGTTGGGGCTCTCGAAGTAGAGAATCTGCTGGCTGGTCACATCTCCGCACCCGTTGACGACTGGAAGTGAAAGATGCCGGATGTTAGATCTAATCCGAATCGATCTGATCCTGGACTTTCACTCACACACACAGCATACGCCCACGCCCTCGGCACAGCTCTCGGTGGGAATCCCCCCGAGGCTCTTGCACTCAAACTCGTGATAGCAGACGCCCTCCATGCTCCGGATGTCGCCCATGGACACACTGCACCGCGTGTTGGGGAACTTTATCACCTCGAACAGGCTGAGGAAGCCCTTGCCCTTGGAGCGAGGTGCATTGGGCTTTTTCAGTATCAAATTTGCCTCGATGGGCGAGCCGAAGAGGAGGTTCTTCAGCGTCTGATGGGGCTGCATGATGGACGATTTGGTGCTGGTCGGTGGCAATGGAGGCACTGGCGGTCGCATCGAAGGCTTCGGACTGGGGCGAGGACCAGAACTGGGACTGGGCTTAGTCGGCATGGGCATCATGGAATCCGTTGCTGGAGGTGGAGGGGGTTCCTAGAATAAGTCGAATATTTGATGCTTAAGATTGGTCTATATCCTAACAGGACACTCCGCCTCGTTACATACCTCTGTGGGTGCGGATGTGGGACGCACGGGAATCGTGGGCTCCGGCTCCTCAGCTTCCGTGGGAGCTGGTTGGGGCGGCGGTGTAGCGGGCGTTGGAATGGGCATGGGCAGGGGTGCCTCCGTCGCAGCCGGGGGCTCTTCCTCCTGCTGGGCCAGCTTGAGCAAATGGAAGCCCGGCTGATAGCGCATTGTGTACTGGTAACCAATGCCTTCCATTATCAGGCCCCCAGGGCGGGATAGCGAGTGGCCACGCCTGGTTCTGCGCAGATCGGCCATGGTCACAAAGTCGGACGCGTTTCCAGCGGCCACGCCCACATAATAGAGCGTCAAAACGAAAGCGCTTATCAAGGCATCGGAGTGTTTTAACAACATTATTAACGGAACTTCACGCGGCGACTGTGGCAGATGTTGCAGTGGCAACTGCAAATTGCCGCCATCGCATGTTGCTGCTGCTGCAGCAGCATCTGCAGCACAGAAAGAAAAATTGTATTAATCGTGAATGGAGTGCATCGAATTATTTCCCCTTTTAATACCGTTTACACTCATATTTTGAGATCTATTTATGGAACAAACTGTGTATTTGTGGTCAGAAAACGCGACATATTTGAAATATATATATTTTCAATGGATATAAATTCGGTTTAGTGTACTGCTGCTCGAGTGGCATCTTTCTTTGGCTTTATTAGAGCATTAATTGTCGCCTTTCGAGCATTTTTCAACCTTCACTTTTGCAGCCACAATCAAACGACAAAGTCACGCTACTCTGATTGCACTTGTGATGCTGCTGCTGCTGTTGCTGCTGTGAGTGGAGTTGCCGTGGGTAACAGGGCAACAGGTAAATGTTATGCCAGCTATTTCTGCAAGCTCTTTGGGAATTTGTGTTAATTTTAAATGAGAAATTAAAAGGCCTGAGTGCTGCCGGCCATAGCTAGAGCCATAAAAAACAGGAGGGAATGGAACACACTCCGACGACTTGTGAAAATGTTAGACTTCATTAGCAGGAAGCCACGTTAAATGCTAACGAGAATATCAAACCCATCAGAGTCGGGCTTTACTTTCGTTATTAATAATCCCCAACGACAGCAATCACCCATCGATTATGCAAATGCGGTCGATGATGTCTCATATTTGCCAATACGGATCGCATTTGCAGTACTCGCTCTTTCAAAACAAAATCGTTTTAATTGCAAAATCGGAGAGCACTCGACGTGAGGCTGAAATCGAAATCATTTAGTAACTCTTTATGCACACACGATTAAGTGCATCAGCATCAGCATCGGCGTCAGCGTCATCTCGGCGCAATGATCATCACAGCCACATGCATCATGCACAACAAGGTTAAAATTGTTAATTGCCGGCACCAGAAATTGGTATTATTATGCATCGCAGCGGCAGCAGCAAGTAACTGGCAACTGGCAGCCACAGCCTCCCAGCTGCAGTCACCAGGCGTAGGCGCCTCCAACAGTTGGCTAAAAGTGACTATAAATAATTGCGCACTTGACAAATAAATGTGGAGAATATGATGAGACAGACGGAGAATATAGTAAAGATTCATTTTTTGCGAGGCGACAATGCGGGCGTTTAGTTTTAAAGATTATCATTATGAGTGGTTACTCGTAATGGGCGACTGGGGGCTGGTCGGGGGGCGTATTTGGAATTTCGTGATTGATGCTCAGCGTCTTCCAACCGAATTCGCCAGTGCAATTAATCATGATCGGGTCTAGAGTCTCCATATACTTAGCATACAAGCACAATCAATTATTGCAATGCAGTTGCATTGTCTTGAAATCACAGATTAATTATGCCCCGGTGAACTGGAAAGGTGATTAATGGGAAACCAATGGTAGAAAGAATTAGTTTCTAGACTAAATATTGTGCAGATATTCTTAGGTAGCTCAAGATACCTACATTCCCTTGAATAAAGCTTTAGCTTGAGGTATTACAATAGCACATTTTTTATTGTAAACAAATATTTGCAACGCAGAACCTAGTAGTGGCTCAAGCCTCTTCTGCGAATGGCTCCACTTGCCAACTCGCTTCACCAGTACTTTATATGTTTACAAAGCACTCCAGCTTCTGCTACATCTCCAAGTCCATAAACGCAGCCGCGTCAGGTGAGTCTGCCTCGCAGTCTGCCTGGACCACAAACCAATACCGAATCTATAACCAAACAAAAATCAACCCAACCCAATCCCACCACACGTAGGGACCATTCCCGTCCATTAATTGAATCAAATCGAACGTTACGCATGCGTCACGGCGGAATGATAAAGGGAGCCGCCGCCACCGCATCCACCACATCGCCACGCCATCGGATGGACTGGGAAACCGACTGGGAAAGCCACTGGAGGAGCCGCCGGGCGATCCTCACACATGCAGATGATGATAACAACGATGAGGCAGACAGCATCTCCAAGTTTCCTCCCCAGACCTCGCCCCGGTCCCTGTGTACACAATATTGTTATAGCTATTACTTCACTTTATATGTTATGTTATGCATTTGTTCGGGGCAAAGTGAAAATCGCAGTTGGAGCGCAGGAAACTTCTGAGTAAGGGGAGCGGGAAGGGTCAAGAGGAGGCGGAGTGGCGACCAAATCAAACTGCCTGACCATCGCGAGTAGTGGCTAAAGCCCACTTAATTGACGTTTAGTGGACACTCGAATGCAAATGCCACAGCGGCTAAAAAGTTCCAAGCCGTACACTAAAAAAAATTCACTACTAAGAAAACCCAGAAATTGAAATCAGACAACGAAACCTAACTTCGGAAAACCAATTTTTATATACCCTTAAATAATAAAAATTAAGCATAACTTAGGCAAAACATTAAATTTAATTTGGAAAACTAGGGAAAACATTTTTGTGCCTGAAATGGATTGGTTGATAATCATAACGTCTAGTAAACTGACCTTGAGAAATATTTAGTTTTCCTAGAGTGACCTTTGACATTGACATTTTTCGTTTTAGTATATCAAACCAAATGAAGACCAAATATGCTTCTATGTGCTTACGTAAAGTTTAACTGGTCTTCATTTTTTTGGGACGGACAGCTATATCTGTCTGCATTAACCGATCACATTTTTTTTCTGAGTGCACCAAGCGAGTGTCGGCGTGGTGGAAGCTGCGTGGATTTGGCAAACGCGATTCTCATCAGCGCTACAAGTAGTCTTCCTTTCCGAATCCGAATGCTCTGGGACTGGGACGTTTGGCCACATTCTAATGCCCCTCGTCCTCCTTCCAATGGCTGGCCAACGATGACGTTGATAATGAGCACGTTGCCCAGTTGCCATTCCTGCCCATGATTTCTGAAGATGCGACTGCAGCAGCTGAAGCAGCGGCAGCCAGACATCATTACAATATAATTGATGGGTTATAGCCGACTAACGGTAAAGCCAAAATGTTTCCTTTTTTACTCATTGGACTTGGAGAGCCGTGGAAGCCAGTTTTCGGCTTGGAAATAATCATTGTTCCGCTTGACAGCTGGGAAGTATGCGTATGGTCTTAGCGTATGAATATGGAAAATGGTTATAATGCTACCAAATCGGGTGGTTAATGTGACATAGAAAACTACTTGGGATTGGACGGCGCTGCTTGTGTCTGAGAAGGACTTCTTAGTCTTACTTGGTGAATAATTTAATGGTAAATAACATTTTCAATTGATGAAGATTTGTCAATATTTTATAGTTTTTAGAAAATAAAAATCCAAACCCCAAAAATCTCAATATTGTTGTCTGTCTATCAACCATTCCCATGGCAAGTTAAGGTCGAAAAACGTAGCAAAAACTTTCCAGAACAGCCTCCTATAAGCCAACTCAACCGATACGGCAACCGTTTTTTTCAATAATCACGAAAAACCCTATTCATTTCAATGTCATTGAGCGCTCGAACAAAAAAAAAGCAAAAGGCCAAGAGCACTGAAATGGTATCTCAAAATTATATCTGAGTCGGAGTCTGCATCTGTAGCATATCGAATGCAAATTGAAGCGTTTAAGCAAAAACACCAGAAATTACACCAAAACATTTGCGGTAACCGCATTTTTTGTGTTTATATTTTTTTGCGGCCTTAGCCATAATGCCGCCTAAACCGCAGCTGTGTCGGTTTTTTTACCCTTCTTGTCTTCCGATAGGCTGCACGCACCACAATGGAGATATGAATGAGGATGTGGATTCGCGGGGACACGGAAGGAGCGAGTGGAGGCCAAAAAGGCTGCATTCGTTTTGCCATAAATGGTGCGTTAATTAAATGTTTTATTAAATAACATAAAGCATCAAGGTTCAGCTTAGAAGGTACATCAAAATCCTTTAATATATAACAACTATATTATATCATAACTTTTATAAATATTTTATATTCAGTTTTAGTATATTTTTAACATTTGCAGAGTTTTGTAGAGTATTTTGGATTTATTAACCCAGATATAATTAAAGAGTTCTATTAAATGAGACTTAAAATAATTATTTTAATTAAACTCTATCTATCAAACGATTTACTTAAATATTACCATATGTCCATGAATAACTACTTTACCATACTGCTCAAAGAATGCATTTTTTAAGTTATAAAATAAACTGATTAATGCAAAAATTAAGGGAGAAAAGATTAATCAATTTAAGGCTATTATTCGGCTATTAAATTTTATTAAAGACAATTTCCCCAAATTGTAGAGCAGAGTTCCCAAACATAAGTTTTGAAACTTAAAGTAGGGCCTTACGCAGTGCTTCTTGGCCACTACCGATATTTTGGGCTAATCTTCAACGGTTATTTAGCCTTGGGTCTTTGATTTTTTCGCCTGTGCTGAGTTTTTCGGAGCCAGGCATGCAAAATTAGGACCGAAAAAGGGTGCCAGGCGGAAGCCGTTGCAGCTCTTGGCCAGATTGTTACCGTTCCGCTGTGGCCGTTGGCCGTTGCCTTATTGGCCATTTCTTTTAGCCGCATTTCGTACACTTGTTGGCCTGACCTGGAGCCTTTGTTTCGGGGACTCCAGAGTGCGTTTATCTTGCGGCTGGACTCCTTTTTTCGGGGGTCTCACACACTCCGGCCATTGATCAAGCCCCATAATGAGCGATAGCTGCAGTGGGGCCTTTTTTCGGCTTGGGCTTTTGTTTGGTCCTGAGATTGAGAGCGGTATTTTATGCAGTAATCTATTTTTTCGGGTTTCTATGTTACGTATCTGGCGGAGGCATTAAGCATCCGCGTATCGCTCGCTGGCTGCAGCTTGTAGCGGCATTTTTTGTTTGTCTCCTGGTAAATTAAACTGTTAACTTGCCATGTTTAGCTGCCATTGTTCGACTGCAGGCTGCAGCGGCGGGCAGACATTGTTTTGGCCGCCGCGGCGCTCGTGGGTTACATATGTCGAGCGAGGATCGAGCGAGTA